GGCTGCTGCTGCCGGCCTCCAAAGTAGGGTTCAGAAAGCTTACCCTCCAGCCTCCTTTGCTGCAGCCTCTTTTCACTGATTCTCATTTATTTCTGCACATTTTGAGGCCAAAAAAGATGTTTCCCTTGTTTTGAAGCTTAGCTATGTCCTTTCGGTTTTCTTCTTTAAGCTTTTTATCTCTCACTGCTACGTGTTTAAAGCCGAGGGAGAATTTTAAGTGTGAACTTATGGAGCCAACTTGACTGGAAGTCAGTAGGTCCAAATCTAATCTTCTGTTTTGTTTGAAACTAAGCCTTTGCCTTCAATAGTCATCAGAGTTATTAGTGTTCAGGAAATCAGAATGTGTTTGAATTTCCATAGCCTTGCTAGCTAGAGCCAAGTCACACTTATGAATATCATCTTACTAACAACAAAAACATGATTTTTTTAAGCAGGAAACAACAGCAGCAGAAATTACAGCGGCAGCAACTAGTGTGCGTGGGCACTTAATGTATGACCGGGGAAATACATGATCTCATTTCATCCTAAAAGCAACCCCAAGGTGTAGGTAATCTCTTACAGATAATGGAACAGAAGCTTACAGGCATCCCTAAAGGACGGTCCATTAAGTGAAGGAACCAGGATTCAAATCTAATTGGAAATCTTGGGCTGTGAGCAACTGTTTTCTACTGCCTCTCACAACACACTACACAGGACAAATGATCAATGATAACTGTTATTTAGTGATTCTTGATGCAACAAACTATGTCACTACCACCAGCACCATTTCCTGAGAACCAATCATGAATATAAGCTTTATTAGGAGCTGGGGCCTGAACTTATCTCCTTTCTCAAAACAAAACTTCATAAAAGCAGGGCTCATGTATGTTTTGTCCACTGGTGTCATCACCAACATCCAGAGCAATGCACAGCATAGTGGGCACTTTATATGCAATAAAATGGTGAAGACAGGTATTTGTCCCTAAGAAATTTATGGGAAGCAGAACACATATAAAGAAAAAAATAAGACGAGGAGGTAGATGGTAGAGTCAGCTGAAAAACTAAGGATGGGGCAGTTAAAGCTGCATCAAGGTGATAAATTAAAACCTGATATTGAATACAAGGCAGGACTTAGGCTCGAGAGGCTACAAGCATTCCATCCAGGGGGGATGACGTGAGCGTGGGGGAACGATAGCGGAGGAGACTGTGAAAGGGGGCAGACTGGCACAGGAATAGAGGACACACTGCACAAGGCTTTAATGTCCGAGCATGGACTCAACTTGGATCTTGCAGGCACTTGAAAGCCTCCACAGATTTCAGAAGAAAGGTTCAAAAAACTATTTGAGAGACAATATTTTAAAATTGCTTCCTAGGCTTACCCATGTACCCTACTTCTTTGAGAACCAATTTGGGTAGTTAAAAAAATTCTGCCCTGTTCTCTACTTGGTTTTCTTGTTATTCAAGAACCAGGTTTGATAGTTTCCTCCCCCCAAATTTGGTAGCATACAATTGTGCAAAATATTCTCCTAATTTTTCAATCTTCTCTACATCTCCTTTTAAAACCTTTCTCTTATATTTTAATTCTCTTATTTTTCTGGCAGAGTTACGTTTATTTTCTTCGTCCCTGGCCCCACACTAAATTGTGTTTTGAACATAACTAATTTTATTGCTTGCTTTTCACTTTCTATTACTTTTTTCCTTGATTTCATTAGATTTTTTTTTAATTGATCCTTTTTAAACTTCAAGAGATGAAAGCTTAGTTCAGGTATGACAAGGAGATCATGTGCACATTTACCAGTCCCAGGATCTTCCCTGTCAGCGGTGGGCATCACTAGTCCATCAGAGCACTCTCTACTGCAAAGCTCAGAGAGGTCCTCAGAATTCTTTTCAGCACGAGACGCTGGGAAATCGGCAGAAGGCATATGTCGGTTGAAGCCAACCTGCCACTTGTATCTTGGTTAATTTCTTTTCAGTATTTCTATGTTATGAGTTTTCCTCTTAGTACATCTTGATCTACATTTCAAATATACGTTTTGATGTGTACAATTCTTTTCATTTGAAGAAATGTTTCAGCTTTACTGAGGTAAAATTGATGAGTGAAATTGTAAGATATTTAAAGTGTATGTCACGGTGACTAGATAAACATGCACTGTGAAAGGATTCCTCTATCTAGTTATTTAACATATCCATCACCTCACATATTTATTTATTTTAATGAGAACAGTCACTTTCTACTCTCTGCATATTTCTACAATACAACACATATTTTATGTTAGATCCTCAGACCTTACTCATCTTATCACTGAAAGTTTGTACCCTTGTAGCAGACTCTCCCTATTTTTCCCACCTCCCTGCCCCGGCGACCACTTTTTTTTACTGAGTTTGACATTTCTTTCTTCAATTCCACAGATAAAGTCAGATCATGTAGTATTTGTGTTTCTCTGCATGGCTGATTTTACCTAATGCCCTCAAGGTCCACCCATGTTGTTGCAAATGGCAGGATTTCCTTCTTTCTCATGGTTTAATAATATTCTAGTGTGTGTGTATCACAGCATCTTTATCCACTCATCCACTGATGGACACGTAAGTTTTTCCCCTGCCTTGGCTATTGTGAGTACTGCTGTAATGAACACGGGAGTGCAGATATCTCTTCAATCTCCTGTTTTCATTTCCTTTGAATATATATGCCCAGAAGTGAAACTGCTGGATCATATTTAATTTCCTGAGGAACCTCCTTACTATTTTCCATAGTAGCTGTACCAATTTACATTCCTATCAACATTGCAAAGTGTTCATTTTCTCCACATCCCTGCCAACACTTCACCTTTCTTTTATTTTTTTCATTTTATTTTTTTAACCTCTCTTTTAAAACACACACTCTAACAGGTGTGATGTGATATCTCATTATGGTTTTGATTGGTCTTTCCACAATAATTAGTGGTATTAAACACCTTGCAATGCATCTATTGGCCATTTTTATGTCTTCTTTGCAAAAATGTTTAGTTCTTTTGCCCATTTGAAAACAAGTTGTTACTGTTATTTCTTTGCTACTGAGTTATATGAGTTCTTTATATATTTTGGATATTAAACCCCTTACCAGATAAATGACCTGCGAATGTTTTCTCCCATTCAGTAGGCTGCCTTTTCATTGCGTTGATGGTTTCTTTCCTATGAAGAAACTTTTAAATTTGGTGTAATCCCACTTATTTAATCTTACTTTTTGCTGCCTCTTTGCTTTTGGTGTCAAATCAAAAAAATCACTGCTAAGACCAATGTCAAGGAGCTTATCCCCTATGTTTTCTTCTAAGAGTTTTATGGTAAAAGGTTGTACGTTCAAGTCTTCAGTTGATTTTGAGTTGGTTTTTCTGTATGGTATGAGATAGTAATTTCCCCAACACCATTTATTGAAAAGACTGTCCTTTTCCCAAAACTATACTCTTGGCTTGTCATAAATTGACCATATACGTGTGGGTATATTTCAGGGCTCTCTGTTTTGTCCCGTAGATCTATTTGTCTGTTTTTATGTTAATACCTTACTATTTTGATTACTGTAGCTTTGTAATATAGTTTAAAATCAGGAAGTATGATGCCTCCAGTTTTGTTATCCTTTCTCAAGACTGCTTTGGCTATTTGAGGTCTTTTGTGCTTCCATACAAATTTGACCTTTTAAAAAATTTTTATGTGAAAAATGCCAGTGGAATTTTGAGAGGGATTGCATTAAATCTGCAGACTGCTTTGGACAGTATGGACATTTTAACAATGTTAATTCTTACAATCCATGAGTGTGGAATATCTTTCCATTTACTTGTGTATTCTTCAATTTCTTTCATCAATATTTTATAGTTTTCAGATCCTAGGAGGACCTTTCACCTCCTAGGTTAACTTTATTCCAAGGTATTTTATTCTTTTTGATGCAATTATTTATGGATTGTTTTCTTAATTTATCTTTGTCATAGTTCGTTGTTAGTGTATAGAAATGTAACTGATTCTTTGTATACTGGTTTTGTATCATAAAACTTTACTAAATTTATTAGTTCTAACAGTTTTTTGTTCTGTTGAAGTCTTTAGGTTTTTCTATATACAGTATCATGTCATCTGTAAATAAAGACAGTTTTACTACTTCCTTTCTAATTTGTGTGTCTTTTATCTCTTCTTCTTGCCTAACTGCTCTGGCTAGGACTTCCGGTACTGTGTTGAACAAAAAAGTGGTGAGAATAGGCATCCTTGTTTTTATATGCACAACTCTTACTTTTTATATAGTATGTAATATAATTTTGGTCCAAGTTACTTTGTTTTGTTTCTTTTTATTATAAATTAGAGAATAAGGACTGTAAAATTTCTACTTCTTGAGTACTTAATTGAAATGTTCTAGCTTTGAAAAATATTCCATGGGAACTCTGCAGGGTACAAAGTTGTATATCTATTAATTTAATCCCAAACCCCTTATATCCTTCACGTTTTGGCCTATTTTGCCAATAATAATGACTATTGTATTCTCTTTTTGGAATTCACTATTTTAAGTTGACTATCTTTTCTCTCATTATTTTTATCTTTGTACAATTTTCCCAAAAAATTTTGGCAGAATTTAAAAAATGTGTCCTTTATTTCACTAATTTAATGCTCCATAGTGCCCAATCTCTGTTCACTGTGTTCAACCCAATTAATTGTCCTCTTAGGTACTTCTAATTTCTGTGCAATCCTCCCTGACCGCAGACTGCTCGCTCTCTCTGTAGGACAGCTTTTTCCAGCTCTATATACTGATTCACTCACTCTTAAACTTTGTTAAGAATATACATTAGTAATTTTTAGAGCTCTCACATTAATTTTTTATTATTGTTTATTCTATTACAGTAGCCCCGATTTTCTCCCCCTTGCCCTCCTCCACTCAGCCCCCCACCCCATTCCAGCAGTCAATCCCTGTACCATGGTCCATGTCCATGGGTCGTTCGTACATGTTCTTTGACTAGTCCCTTCCCCTTCTTTCCACCACTACCTCCCTCCACCGCCCCCCACCCCAGCAGCTGTCAGTCTGTTCATGTTTCCATGTCTCTGGTTTTATTTTGTTCATTAGTTTATTTTGTTCATTTGATTCTTCATATAAGTGAGATTGTTTAGTATTTGTTTTTCATGGACTGGCTTATTTCACTTAGCATAATAGTCTTCAGTTCCAACCACACTGTTGCAAAATGTAGGGATTCCTTTTTTCTTTCTGCTGCATAGTGTTTCATTGTGGAAATGTACCCCAGTTTTTCTGATCCACTCATTTACCGACGGCACTGAGGTTGTTTCTAGCACTTGCCTTTTCACTGCTGTGAACATGGGAGTGCGTAAGTCCTTTTGAATTGGTGGCTTGGGATTCTTAGGTGTTTTGATTGCTGGCTTAAAAGGCAGTTCCATTTTTAGTTTTTTGAGGAAATTCCATACTGTTTTTCCATAGTGGCCACACCAGTCTGCATTCCTACCAACAGTACACTTGGGCTTCCTTTTCCTCATATCCTCACCATTACTTGTTTGCTGATTTTTTTAATGACAGCCATTCTGGCAGGTGTGGGGTGATATGTCACTGTGGTTTTAATATGCATGTCTCTGACGGCTAGTGATGTTGAGCATTTTTTCATATGTGTATGGGCCATCTATGTCCTCCTTGGCAAAGTGTCTATTCAGGTCCTTTGCCCATTTTTTAATTGGATTGTTTATCTTACTGTTATTGAGTCATATGAGTTCTTTATATATTTTGGAGATCAAACCCTTATTTGATGTTTCATCAGAAAGTATGTTCTCCCATACGGTCAGTTCCCTTTTCATTTTGATGATGGTTTCTTTAGCTGTGCAGAAGCTTTTTAATTTGATGTAGTCCCATTTGTTTTTTCCTTTATTTCCCTTGCCCTAGGAGATGTATTAGCAAAAATATTGCTACATAGGATATCTGAAATTTTACTGCCTGTTTTCTGCTAGGATTTTTAAGGTATCATGATTTATATTTAAGTCTTTTATCCATTTTGAGTTTATTTTCGTGTGTGGTGAAAGCTGGTAGTCTAGTTTCATTTTTTTGTATGTACCAGTCCAGTTCTCCCAACACCATTTATTGAAGAGGCTGTTTTTACCTCATTGTATGCTTGTGCCCCCTTTGTCAAATAAACCCATAGAGACATGGGTTTATTTCTGGGCTCTTTATTCTGTTCCTTTGATCAATGTGTTGGTTCTTATGCCAGTACCAGACTGTTTTGATATAGTGGCCTTGTAGTATAGTTTTATATTGGACATTGTAATCCCTCCAACTTTGTTCTTCTTTCTCAAGATTGCTGAGGCTATTTGGGGTCTTTTTTGGTTCCATATAAAGTTCTAAAATATTTGTTCTAGGTCTGTGAAATATGCCATTGGTATTTTAATAGGAATTGAATCTATAGATTGCTTTGGATAGTATGGACATTTTAATGATGTTAATTCTTCCGATCCATGAACATGGTACATGCTTCCACTTATTTGTATCTTCCTCAATTTCTTTCTTCAGTGTTGTATAGTTTTCCAAGTACAGGTCTTTTATCTCCATTAAATTTATTCCTTTTATGGTTCATGTTGCTATAGTAAATGAGATTTTTTTCTTATAGGTTATTGTTGGTGTACAAAAATGTCATGGATTTCTGAATATTGACTTTGTATCCTGCTATTTTGCCAAATTCACTTATAAGGTCAAGTAGTTTTTTGGTGGAAACTACAGGGTTTTCTATGCCACACTGGTGAGACAAGAAAAAGAAATAAAAGGCATCCAAATTAAAAAGGAGGAAGTAAAACTGTCATTATTTCCAGACAACATGATAGTGTACATCAGTAATTGCTAAAATTTTTCATTTTTGCTTAAACTTATTTCGGAGGTTGGCAGCTCCTCTGAATCTTCTCCACAGGGCTTTCCTTTAAGCTATACCATCTATTCCAAGGACCCGAGATTTTAAAATATTTGCTCACTTTCAGAAAGGAAACTCTAAATTTGCCATTTAGGGTTTATGATCAGGAGGAACTAAAATAGATTCTGTCTAAGATTAGTATAGGTTTCTGTCTCTTTTAAAAAGGATTTTCATAATCAGATAAGAAAGAAGGGATGTGACAGACAGGAAATACCTGGCAGTTATATTTCCATGTTAACAACCGTTTAAACATGTGGCGGGCAGAAATGAAAAGTAGAATTTTAATTTAAATTACACGTTAAGGACCACCAAAGAAAGACCCTTTAATTCTTTGACTCTCACGTACTTTTTCTCCCCACTGCGCCACACACACCACAGTGTAACTTTTGATTGAGTGTGGTTGTAGTACCCAGTTTCCTGAATGATGTCGTTGTCCATGCCCCCAAAAAGCGTTAGGATCTCCTAGTGCATCCACTGATGGAGATCCAAACGTTGGCAGAGGAAAGAGAGTCTGAGTGGCAGATTCCTTGCCTGTCCTCACCTCTTGCTATCTCCAGACCCCAACCCTTAGAGTAAGAGGGTATTTATCCGGTGTATTCCAGGCCCCCTACTGATTTCCTAGACTGCAATCTCATAGGAAGGCAGTATATAAAAGCCCTCAATGTCGTTCTTCAATCTAAACCCTTTGCATCTAACAGATATTTCCCCAACAGCTCAGCATAACAGTGACACTCATTCTTTCTACTGTTGAGTATTTTATTGGCCATTTAAGTGGAAAACTGGTGTGGAAGGAGAGGGGGTCAGTTCCTAACTGCTTACACTGCACTTTCTCAAAGGCAGTATTTATTTATTTTTATGCTAAGTAATAGTTTTGTTTTACACTTTAATTTGGTTCAATATCCTACTCAGTTTTTATGTTGATTACACTTAATATTTTTCTCAAATATTCAATAAACTTTTTTCTTTTTCCCTCCATCCCTTCCTCTTTCTTTTAAAAATTTATTTAAATTTTTTTTTACTGTATTGAAATTTTACCCTTTGAGATAGCATGGATGGACCTGGAGAACATTATGCTAAGTGAAATGAGGCAGTCGGAGAAAGACAAGCACCATATGAATTCACTCATATGTGGAATCTAATGAACAAACTGAACCAATAAACAAAACAGAGACAAACTCATGGATAAGAGCAGGATGACAGCCTAGAAGGGGGGAGGAGAGGGGTATAGGAGGACTAAATGGTAATGTAAAGGCACTGTTTTAGCATGACTTTGCTGACAACTGCTGTAGAGGATGACTGTGAGTAGGTGGGTGGGGTCTTTGAAATCAGTGGTCCACTGGAAAGAGTCTGGGGTCAGCGCAGAAGGTGGCGTGGATTCCAGCTCTAGCTCTGCCACGGACCACCTGCGGACCTTGCTACACTCACAGCCCCGCACTAGGCCTCTAGTCTTATATCCCAGCACTAAAAGTCTGTCATTATTGTGACAGTGGGATTCATAATAGGAAATGCACATTTGGTCTTCCTCCTGTTTCTGGCTCATAGCTCCCCAAACCCTTGGAAGTTCCTAAGTGTTGAGAGTGATAGGGGTGTCCTGCTATGCTAATGAGGTGGCTTTTAGAAACACCTAAAAATGAGGGCTGGTTGCCAAGAGAACCACGTGATTAGAGGGTTGGAACTTTCAGGCAAATCAATCACCAACTGGCCAATGATTAATCAGTTGTGCTTACGTAATTGAAGCCTCCATAAAAACCCAAGGGGACGAGGCTCGGAGCACTTTGGGTTGATGAGCAGCAGGGCAGCTCTGCGCCCCTTGCCGTGTGAGTCTCTTCCATCTGGCTCTGAGTTATATCCTTTCATAATAAACGAGTCATCTAGTAAGTAACATATTTGTTTCTCTGAGTTCTGTGAGATATTCTAGCAAATTAATTGAACCCAAGAAGTGGGTTTGGGGAACCTTTGGTATGCAGCCAGTAGGTCAGAATTACAGGTAGCAACCTGGACGTACACTGGCATTCTGTGCCGCGGGGCGGTCATTGGAACTTCCAATCCACAGCTCCTCATCAATAGCCAGTTGGTCAGAAGCACATGTTAGAAGTCTGGGTTTGTGCCTGGCATCTGAAGTGTGTGTGAGAGTGTGTAAGAGTGTGTGCATGTGTGCGTGTGCATGCATGCAGGCAACCATATATGCACACACATGCAGAGTTTAACAGGGCTGACTTTAACCTGTGGAATCTGACGTTATCTCTGTGGAGGCAGAGTTAGCACTGAGCTAGATTTTTGGGCTCCCTGCTGGTATCTGAGAATTGCTTGTTGATGTGAAGGGAAAACCTCTCCCCCTTCCTCTGCTCACATTGGAATTGGGTCTAGGAACCCTTACAATTTTATTTTTCAGAAATGCATAATTTAGGGAATCCTATATTTAAGGATGGTAATGCCATAGATTTGATCATATTTCTTGAAACTACGCATAATAAGGGGCTGAAAGGCTGACAGAAAATGGTTAACCTACAATATGGTATCGTCTATGCCCACATCAAGAACCTATGCTGGGTGACTGTAAGTCCCCATCAGTTTGCTCCATTTTAATGAATCACATGTTAAAAAGGTATTGCTTTTTCTTTTCTCACCAGCCTTGTTTTCCTATTTTTCTGACATTTGTGTCTGAGCAGCTTTCATCATATTTCTGATATTGCCAGATGTTCAGGTCAGATTAACCGGTATTTGGTTTTACCATCCTCCTCAGCTTCCGAGGGCTTTCCTCCTGCCTAATCCCCAGCAGCTCTTAGCAAACACCACTGTCCTGGGTGCTGACATAGAACGGCAGTCACCTTCGATTTCCACTAAGGCCACCCTGAGGGAGCCGATCCTAAAACCTGGGTAAGGAAAGTTAACCCCAGCTGTTTAAAGACAAGCACTTTTGTTAAGGCTGGTGTTTCTTACAGTTTTCTTTCTTCAGAGGGGTCCCAAGGTACACCAGTTCTGACTGTGACCTTCCAAATTCTTCTCTAGTCTATGAGTTTTGACCAGGTCCTTGGCAAACTTTACCCTCCTCAGGTTTCTTTCACCATGTTTCCTGGAGAGTGTAATTCTGGCTCTGAAAAGAGGGTCATTCGCAAGGAAGAGACAGTTCATGTGTGTGTAATAGCTGTTCACAGGCCGTCACTGTTCTCAGTTCAGCTGACTGCCTGGAAGAAATACCACAAATAGTTCGGAAAGGAGGATCTGAAGTGGGTACTAAATTATAAAGTGCGGTGAACTTTAGAAAGGAAAATCAAGAAGAGCTGCTGGCACCATAGAAAAGGTTTAAAAAATCGCAATCATTCTCTTACGAAATTGACAAATGCGATTTAGCTAAAGGAACTGTAAGTAATGGATTTGAGAATTCGAACAAAGAATCATTGGGCCAAAAAGGGATGATGAAAATAGCTGTAAAGCTTAAGAATTAAAAAACAAATGTGCACATAAAAAAAAAGCTCTAGATGGAAGAGACAGAAAACAAGCTATTTTGGGTGATTATTCAAGTGGGGACAGTGGTTTTGTCTTACAGATGGGAAATCGAAACCTTTAGAGGGAAAGTGACCTGAATATTATCATAAAGAAACAGGACTCCACTGTTCTGATTCTCAACTCCCTTTGCACCAAAATCCAAACGACATTCCATCTTTTATGTTCCATTGTTCTCTAAAATCAGCCCTCTAGGATGTGGAAACTTTGATGCTCTTGGAAATTGCTTCTATATTTGCCTAATGCCAACTTCTGTGCTAGGAGAATTTTTAAGTTCAACCCCAAAACACGAGGCTCGGCATGGTCACAAGCTCATTACAACTGCTCATTAGTTGTGTCTCTTGGGCCACTATGGCATTCCTGAGTGTGACTCAGCATCACCAGTCACAACGGAGGGTTCCTGATTAATCTGCACTGAGCCAGAATAAAGGCTGCAATAAGTCCAAACAAATGAAGTAACACAGCCTGTATGAAGAAAGTAAAAAATTATATGAAACTGCCTGAAATGCCACCTTAGTATATTAACCATAATACCTAATACTTATTTCATCTGTGTTATGTACCAGGTGCTGTATTTGTGCTTGGAATTCATTAATTAATTTCTTTCTTTCAATAACTCTGTGAGGCAGATACTATTATTATCCCTATTTTAAAACAGGAAACTGAGCCACACAGAAGTTAGTAAGTAACTTGCTATACTGGCCAGAAACATGATTTCTTTTAGCATAAGAATATATCGACTGATACTGAGATCAGGACTACAGAAGCCTTGAAAGGGCTCTTTAGATTAAAAATAACTTCATCCATCCAAATCAGGTATGGAGTTCTGTCCACAGTAGTGACACACCAATGACAGTTTTACTGTGGTACATTCTCCAAGTGTCACCATGGCAACATCAGGTGTTAATGATGGCAGACACTGGTTTACCTGTACTATCTGCACAACTTTTCTGTAAATCTAAACCATTCTATAATGGAAGTTTATTTTAAAAAATTATGTGGATATTTCACAGAGAGAACTTTCCGTAGAAATCAGTACAGATAGAAACAATGCTTTTCTGTTTGCTGAAAGTCTGAAGAACACGGAAGGCAGTGGGGCCCTCCCCACACCGTGCATTTCTCGTGTTGGAGGGAAGGTTAAGGTCTCCATTAGTGCTAACTTATTTAGCTTCAGAGACTTGTGCTCAAGTTTTAAAGGCAAATTGGAAACTATTTCCTGGAACAACGCCTCACAGCATGCCTTTTGATTCTTGGATTATATTTCTTAAATTCTGAAGCAATCTGCTTTTTTCCCCCCTTCTGTGCATTTTTGGTGCTGAGCTGTTTCCGGTTTTCCCACACTCCTGCTTGTCAGAGGGAAGAAACCACAAAAAAATGCAGCAAAGTTTGTCCACAGAGCTGCAATCCCACCTCAGCGGGCTGAAGCGTCCTCCTGCCAGCAGGGAGTTCAGGACAGTGAGTGGCATCTTCAGTGTGCAGCCCTGCTGCCTGCTGGCCCAGCCTGCCTGTCCCCCAGGGGACCGGCCAGCCACACAGGCCATTGTGGGCCACCTCAGGATACGGGCCCATAATCAGAGAGTCCACGAACGGGAAGCACACCGACACCCTCAACATTAGAGGCCAACTCCCTGATTTTCCTCCCTAACTGTGGGCTTCTGCCAGCCCACATGAGGGAGAGAGTGGTTTAAAATGCTCGTGCTAGCACTTGTTGCACTTCACATGTGTTAACTTGGCTAATATTTGCCAACTGCCCTGTGAAGGTGATGTTCTTTTCATCCCCTCTTCATGCACGAAAAAACTGAGGCCCAGAGATTAAGTAATTTATAACTTGCAGAAGGTCTCAAGTCAGTCAAGTGTGGGTGGGGATGTGAGTGCAGGCAGGCTGGCTGCAGAGCCTGCACCCTTAAGGATTCGACTCTACTCCCTTGAAGGGAAGGGGCGCTGCAGCTTCCTTCCTGTTGTGCCGCTGGCGTCCAGCCTCAGACGGCAGCCTTCCTACTGCCCTCCCCTGCTGACCCAGAGAGCTCTCTCTCTGTAAAATAATCACAATGCCAATTATTCCCGGAACAGTGCTTGGCACTTAGTAGGCACTGAATAAATATTTGTTGGATAAATGAATAATGGCAACGACATAATTAAAACAGCCACAGGAGAGTGCTTTCAATCCAAAATCAAAATTTGATTCACTGTGTGAGGAGGGAAAAAAAATAACTGTTTTTACAATATCCTAGGATTCCTTTTTACAACTGAATCTGGTTTTGTGAAGGACAAATGAACGAAGAGCTGTAAATGAGAACAAGAGACATGCGCAAATCTCCTCCGGGCATTTGCACATCAGGAGATGCCTGCCTCCTCTGGGCATCTCCATTTTAAATAGAGAAGGGCTGTTAGATCCAACGCCCTCTACCGGTCCATTCCTGGTTCACTAGCTAAAAAATGGCAGGAGGTAGAGTGAAGAAAATAACCTACAAAAATTTGATTCGGGAGTGGAAACGTGTTTGTTGTTTGTGTTTAGTTTTTGAAGTAAAATAGGTACACCACGAAGGAACTGGAGGGGACCAACATTTTGCTGCCATGAAGCTGTTTTTGGGGGTTATTGATTTTAAGTTGTTAATTAAGAAACAAGATTCAAAGGAAGCCTTTGACCCCCTCCCAGCTTCCTGTCCAAGAGATTCAGACAAAAAACCTGCTCTGGGAAGGGAGCCTGGGCTCAATCACCTGAATAATTTCACCTTGGCAGGAAGGCTCTAAGGCTGTTAGCTGGACAACTCCCCTTCCCCGTGACCCTCTGTTTCTGAGGCAGGAATTTCCCTGCCACGGAAGTTCTTCTTTTCCTCAACTATCTGTAAATCACCTATTCTCACTTCTGAAATTGACGCTGCCCCGCCCTTCTCCTTTGTTCCTTGCTGTCTTCGGAATTCTCCATGTGCATGTACTAAAACTTCAATTTTCTCCGGTTAATCTGTCCCTTTGATTCGATTAACCCAGCCAGAAGAACTTAGAGTAGGGCAAAAGCACCACTATTTTTTTTAGACCCCACAGTATCAAAAGCATTGGCGCACAGATTCTGCTTACTAAGGTCAGTGAAGTTAATCTTCCCAATGATATCCCACTCCTGTGTCATCCTATTCAAGTGCCTAAAAGTGAACAAAGGAAGGGAGCAAGGTATTGAATTTAATATAAAAATTCTGTAGGTCTGACTCTGCAGTGACAAAGAGGAGAGTACCTCCAGAAGAAATTTTTTCATTCCCTTTCTTTAGCATTGTTCAGCAGTATTACCTGATGCATTGTCTGATTGTAGCTCCTGCCAGAGGCTGGAAGAGTTGGTTAGCAATGACCCTGAACTCCACTTGTGAGGGCAGCTCTCACCAAGATCCCTAGGAACCTTTAAGAGCAGTGCCTGCCCCTCCCACAGGGTAAGCAAGAGCCCAGGAGATTGTAATTTGCAGCCAGAGCTGAGAAACGGGACTTAGCTTTTATTACCCGTCAGGTGCTCTTGTTTTCAACAATTCAGTACCAAGTGTCTTGAAAATTCCATAAGTAAAGAGCACTATAAGCACGCAATTGATACAACTCAGGAGATTATTGAAAACTTACTTGGAAGACCTCTGGGATGTTGCCTTTCTTAGGACTTGTTTGTGATTGGATGGGGGTTTGGGGACCAGGGAGGAGGAACTTGGAGGTGGCACCACTTTTTGTAGCAGAGTGGTTGGCTTCTGGCCACTAACTGTGGCACTTGAAATTCTGCAAGCTGCACCATTATTCATTGTCCATAAACTGGAGTTAGGTAGTGTCTGGCTGCCAAAGATTGCCTTGAAGAAAAAGAAAAGAAGAAAGATCAGCGGTGATGGCCTTGACAATCCATTTGCTATGTGCAAATGAGTAGTTTGTAATTCTTTAGTGGGACAAAAGGAAAAATAAAACTGTTAAAGTAATTTTTTAGGAAAGGAAAAAAAAACCTTTCTAATTATGCCAGTGCAGATCTAGATCCAGAGAAGAGAAATCTCCTGAAGCACAGCTGGTATGGTCTTGTTGAACGTACTCTTGGCAAGGCATCAGGGCATCTGGGTACTGTGCACCCATCCATAAGTGTGAATTAGAAAAGCACTTGGTCTCTCCAGCTTACTCCCCCCTTCACTGTTAAATTCAACAAATGTTTAACAAATGTCTCCCACTGGGTGTGACATCTGAGCCACGGATAGAACCCTGCACCCCTCCAGGAGGTCTACCTTCTGAGGACAGGCTGGCTGAGGCACTGACCCAGAGAGTGGAGAGAGGAGGCAGGACAGAAACCAAGGGCCAGGCCTTGCGTGGCCTTGAGGGCTATTTATATAATTCTGGCCCAGTAACACCTTGTTGACCTAATGATCACAAGATGGACCGTTGAAAACACATTCAAAGCAAAATCACTACATGGATGCAAGATCAACACAAGGATCTTGTTAGATCAGATGGTAAGCCCACAAATAAAGAGAAACCTAAAAATCACAGTCTAAACACTGCGAACACCAACATATATCTGTAGTTAGAATGTAAACGTACACTTTCTCAAGCAGATCTTTTAAAAATTCTTAAAACTTCCTCATTAGAAATAGGTTTCTTTGTTTTTGTTTTTGCTTTGTATCTCAAATTTTGCTGCTGGTCCTTCAATACTATTAACACCACTTTCTTTTATTTAAAATATATTTTATTGATTATGCTATTAGAGTTGTCCCAATTTTTCCCCCTTTGTCTTCATCCATCCGGGGCACTCTCCACTCCCTCTGGCAATCTTCCACCTTAGTTCAGATCCAGGGGTAATGCATGTAAGTTTCTTGGCTAGTCCATTTCCTACACTGTTCTGAACATCCCTGTCTATTCTGATCCTACCAATCTGTACTTCTTAAACCCTGCATCTTTTCCCCCATGCTCCCCATTCCCCCTACCAACAAACTTCCAAATGATCTCCAAATCTATGATTCTGTTTCTGTTGCAGTCGTTTGCTTTGTTTTTCAGATTCAATGGTTGATTGTTGTGAATTCACTGTCATTTTAATGTTCATCATTTTGATCTTCTTTTTCTTAAATAAGTCCCTTTAACATTTCAAATAATAATGGTTTGGTGATGACGAACCTTTAGCTTTACCTTATCTGGGAAGCACTTTACCTGCCCTTCCATTCTAAATGATAGCTTTGCTGGTAGAGTGATCTTGGCTATAGGTCCCTGCTTTTCATGACTTTGAATATTTCTTGCTAATCTCTTCTAGCCTGGTTTCTTTTGAGACATTAGCTGATAGTCTTATGGGAACTCCCTGTAAGCAACTCTCTTCTTTTCTCTTGCTGCTTTTAAGATTTTTCTTTATCTTTAAATTTTGCCATTTTAAGAAAGACTTTATTCATTTATTTTTAGAGAGGGGGAAGGGAGGGAGAAAGAGAGGGAGAGAAATATCAGTGTGTGATTGCCTCTCATGTGCCCCCCCACCCCACTGGGGACCTGGCCTGAAACCCAGGCATGTGCCCTGATTGGGAATCAAACCAGAAACCCTTTGGTTCACAGGCCAGCACTCAATCCACTGAGCCTCACCAGCCAGGGCAACCTTTGACATTTTAATTATGATGTGCCTTGGTGTGGTCCTCTCTGGGTCCATCTTGTTTGGGACTCTGTGCTTCCTGGACTTGTATGTTTATTTCCTTCACCAAATTAGTAAGTTTTCTTTCATTATTTTTTCAATCAAGTTTTCAATTTCTTGCTCTTTCTCTTCTACTTTTGGCATGCCTATGATTCGAATGCTGGTATGTTTGAAGTTGTCCCAGAGTCTCCCTAGCCTATACTTGTTTTTTGAACTTTTTCTTCTTAATGTTCTGATAGCATATTTTTTCTTCCTTATGTTCCAAATCATTGATTTGATTCTCAGCTTCATCCATTCCACTGTTGATTCCCTGTAAATTTTTCTTCATTTCACTTAGCATAACCTTCATTTCTGCCTGGGCCTATTTTATGCAGTTGCAAGACCCAGTAAGTTCCTTCAGTATCCTCATAACCTGTGTTTTGAACTCTGCATTTGATAGATTGCTTATCTCCATTTTGTTTCTGGAGTTTTGTTATATTCTTTCAATTGGTCCATATTTCTTTGTTTCTTCATTTTGGCAGCCTCCATGTATTTATTTCTATGTATTAGGCAGAGCTGCTTTGACTCCACCTTAGTTGCATGGCCTACTGTAGAAAAGCACATCTGTACATTGGATGGGACAGAGCCTTAGGTAATCACCAGGATGGGGCAACCTGTATGAGCCAGGTTGATGGAGTCTCCGATACGGTGTTGCTGCTCTGTGGCTCTGTGTGGGGGACAGTGCCTGAAACACATTTATACCATTAAAAGGACAGTGCTGCTGCCTGCTGTCCCCCATCACTCACCCTGATGACAGACACTTTGATCTCTCCCCATATGTCACCAGTGCCCTTCCAGCTGCTGCTCTGTCGATGAAGCCCAGAGGGAGTCTGCGTTAAGTCCTAAGTCTGCTGCCGACCGTTTAAGAGGCAACTCCTGAGAATCCTGCAGTTCCTTCCACCAATCCAACCCTCATTGGTTTTTACAGCCAGAAATTATGGGGACTTATCTTCCTGATACTGGAACCCTGAGCTGAGTGGTCTGTTGTGGTGCAGGGATCCCTCGCTCCCAAGGTATCTCTCCCAATTTTTATCCACTACACATGGGTGTGTGACCACCCCTTCTGCATCTCCATGGCTCTGCATTTCTCTGCCCCTCCTACTGTCTGGGTGAATGTGACTTCTTTACTTCCTTGGTTGTTCCATACAGTTCAATTTTCTGATGATTTGGGGGATATTTATTTTTTAGTTGTCATAGTTTTGCTGTTGTTGTGTGAGGAGGTGAACCATGTTTTTATCTACACCTCCATCTTACTGGAAGTCTTAACACTGCTTTCAATATGCATGCATTATAAATGCTTTAAATGTGAAATAATATTGAGAATAATATAACGAACAAAATACATAGGACTTTTTGTTAAAGGATTTCTGGCAACTTATTCCATCTGTAGATACTACCTATACTGAGACATAAGAAAAATTCATTTTCTGCCCTGGCTGGAATGGCTCACTGGATTGAGTGCCAGCCTGTGAACCAAAGAGTCACTGGTTCAATTCCCAGTCAGGGCACATGCCTGGGTTGTAGGCCATGTCTTCTGTGGGGGGTGCACAAGAGGCAACCATGCAGTGATGTTTCTCTCCCTCTCTTCCTCCCTCCTTTCTCCTCTGTCTAAAAGTAAATAAATAAAAAATCTTAAGAGCTGTTAAAAAAAAAAGAAAAATGTCATTTTCTTTTGTCGAGGCCAAAAGGAATAAGATGTTCTTAGGAAACATTTGCCTTCTAGATAGTCTTCACTAGTAGTATTTTTGTCCTGTATGAATTTTACTTTTTAAGATAAAAAAGATGAACCGAGTAGCTTTAGTAAAGTGTTAACCAACCCTTCTACACCCATGCCCGGGAATGTCCTTTATCCCAAGGTCCAGGGCTAGGGAGGTGTGAGGGGGGTAATGGCGTCTTGCATGCATACCTGTGTTTCAGAGGCCTGACAAAGAACAAAGGATTTTATAAATAGAAGGCTGCAGAATTCTCTAAAGAACGAATCTGAGATGTTGCGTCGTCTCTGCGAACCACCCAAGGGGAAACTGCAGCACTACCCACTCACCGGCACCTCTGACCCCAGGAGGGGAAACCTGCAGCCTTCCAAGGACAAGTGACCAGAGGGTGCAACAACAGACCGGGCATGTGGCACTGGCTCTGAAACAAACCCAGTCCCCCTGACAACTGCTTCCATGTCTAACAGCCTGAAAATCGGAGGGAGAGGCTCAATGGAAGGGGAGGAAGGAGGCAGGCATGGGCCACCCTAGGCTTCTGTTTTCACCACTACATCCCAATAATGGAGCTCAGATGTGAAGAGAGCTTGAGAGATGCTCCACTTGGGATGGGGAAGAGACCAGACATCAGGACGAGGCCAGGCGAGTTCTACTTCGGCCATTCATAAACAAAGTCGCTGGGTGAGCAGCAGAGAAGGAAAAACCAAGGTTAGTAAAGAGCTCCTGGAAATAAAAATACTCTTTATTTAGTTAGAGTTTTCATGTTGTGAGGGAAATGTCATCAGTGATAATATCTACTCAATCAATACACGTTGTTGTAGTAACAACCATATTTTAAAATTCATTGAGTTTTTCTTTTTTTTCAAAGCCTTGCTGGGGCATCTAAACACAAAGACTAAATGAGAAGAACAAGAGAACAATGAGTATAGTAAACTTTTTTGTGTGAAAAAAGGAATAAACACAGATGTACATATATAACACCATGCACACAAACACACAATGTGAACGTCTGCACAGAACAATTCCGAAAGATACAAAAACCTGGGAACTTCCACCATGGAGAAGAATTGGTTAGCTAGTGGTCAATGTGGGAGGAAAACTAATTTTTCTACTATATATATTTATACCTTTTAGAATCTTGACCCATCTATATGTAGCTTAAAAAATATATAAAAGAGTCAAGAGTAAGTCAAGTTTAATAATATTTGAACAGGTAACAAATTAACTCTGAGCACAAGTCAAAGTATCCAAATAAAGCCCCAAGTTTCAGCCAGCTGGGTAGAGGACTGGCCATTACACAGGGCTGAAGAAAGAATCGACTGTTCAGCATTTATGGCCACAAGACCAGATTGGGTCATCTGTGAAAGGCAGAGCGTCGGGTAAGGGGAAGGGAGCTTGGCTGGGCAGGCAAATGCTGCCTCGGCTCAAATGCGGGCTCTGTCCCTTATAGATGGGG